TTTTTTTTTATATATATATAAAAGGTATTTTTGATTATCAGAAGGAGCTTGAAAAGGTGCTCAGCCTTGACTAAGAACCAAACTCTGCTAAACTTGTTCAAGGTTAGTTTTGGAATAAATTATTTGTATGTTCTTGTTCTTAATACACTGTCTACTACTACAATTGAGTAGACTTATAATAAGGTGAGTACTTCCATTGATTTGTTTATTATATCATCATACTCTTTTTTTTTTTTTTTTTTTTTTTTTTTCCAATTACAAGTTACAACAACATTGTACTTTGAAAAACCTATCTCCATATAGAAAGCAATTTTCACTACTATAATCGGGTAGAATTTTCAAAATATAATGCCCTGATAACTAAAATATATAAACAGATTTTTCAAAGCACAGTAGCTTGATAAGAAAAGTTGCTGAAAGTAGAATGGTGTAATAGAAAAAAGTGAAAGTAGGATGGTATTATTTATGATTGGTTGGTCAATTTGGGTGATAGGTGTTTCAAAGGGTTCTAAAAGCTTATGCTACAAAGTTATTCATGAAGTTGCCTAAAGGTGGCACAGGGATTGTTGCAGCTGCCACTGGGATGGATGGACATATTAAGGTATCTTCCACTTTACTTTCTGACCTTATTTTTAACTATTTTAATTCTTATTTTTTTAATGTAATGTGAATCTTATTAATGCAGACATCCGATAAAGACGAAAGGATGATATGCTATATTGTGAATACAGCAGAATATTGCCATAAAACGGTTAGCCTTTTGTTGTATTTGTTATGTGGCAATTTAAAAATAAAAAGGATACAACTGGTTTAGGTTTATTAGAAAGAGTTGGTTAATTTTTTAAGTTGATTGGTTTTACAGGCTGGTGAGTTGGCTGAGAATGTCTCCAAAATTATAGATCCCCAATTGGCCGATGGTGTAGACATGTCAGAAGTGGAGGTAAATACATATATCTTAGTTATTTTTGCATTTTTGGTCCCAAAACGTTTTCTCTTGCAGTTTTGATTCTTATATATGGTCCTTGTTGCGTTTTCAGTCCTTGTTCCAAGTAAATTGACTATGTAGGTCCCAAAAAATAGTCATTTTGATTTTGAATAGGAACCAAAAATGTTCAAAAACCTCAAATAAATTGTAAGAGAAACTTTTTGGGAACAAAAAGGTTATAAAAACCTCAAATGAAGACCAAAATCACAAGAGAAACTTCATTTTGGGATCAAAATTGAAAAAACCACCTATACCAAGGGGCCAAAAATGTATATATATATATATATATATATATATATATATATATTTGTGTTTTGATTGATTACATGGTTTTATTATATAGGATGAATACTCGGCAGTTATAACAAAAGCATTAGTAACATTGGTGAATGGGTTGGAAACCAAATTTGACATTGAAATGGTTGCAATGACCACACGTGTCCCATGGGCTACACTCGAAAGCGTGGGCGACCAATCAGAGTAAGATTAGATGATTATATACATACATATATCAATCAAACTATGATTACCTACTTACTTTGCTACATACAAACATACAATACAGGTATGTGAATAACATAAAAATGATCCTTAATGGTAGCATCCCTGTACTTGGAACCCTTCTTTCTCCAGTTTACTTTCAGTTCTTTTTAGACAAGGTCAGTATTAATATTTAATAAATACCCTTCCTTCCTTCCTTCCTACCGTTTATAATTTATAATTTATAATTTAGGTGTATTCATATTGCTTTTGTGCTTTTTTGTGTAGCTTGCATCGTCTCTGGGCCCACGCTTCTATCTCAATATCTTCAAATGCAAGCAGATCTCAGAGACTGGAGCTCAACAAGTACATTGCTGTTTATTTTATTTTTTATTTTTTTAATATTAAAATGTAGAATAGCAACAGCTTACAGTTTGACATGCTTTAACTTTTTGCAGATGCTGTTAGATACTCAGGCTGTAAAGACGATACTTTTAGATATTCCATCCCTAGGAAAACAGGTAATAATTGTAACTACGTAACCTACTTTCATCATTTTTTTTTTTATTTTTTTTATTTTTTTTATCGATTTAACCATTCATTTTCTCTAGTCTAGTGATAAGGTAGGAAAAACATTTTCCCAGTTACCTACCTGGTTTTGACATAATGTACCTTCACCACTTTATTGATTAAGCCGTTCGACCATTTTCTTTGACTGATGATTAAACAAACCGTTATACATTTTTTTGCATCTTCAAAAAACCCATTTTTCCTTGTTACATGGTTTTCATTTTTGATATCAATAAGTATAAAATACAACCAACTTTCACAATTTTATCAATTATTAATATTATTATTATTATTATTATAGTAAAAGTAAATTACATTTTTGGTCCATTTTTTGCTATTTTGGTCCTTATTTGAGGTTTTTGTAATGTTTTGTTTTTGGTCTTTGTTCCAAGTACAACTACTATTTTTTGTTCCTAAGTATAGCTAAAAAGTTTCTGCAATTTTGGTCCCAAAAAGTTTCTTTTGCAATTTTGGTCCCTCAGTATAGCTGATTTTTGCAATTTTGGTCCCAAAAATATTGTCATTTTACTTGGAACAGGGGCCAAAACCTTAGACAAGGGCCAAATTAAAAAAAAACAAAAAATCAGCTCTGTTGAGGGGCTGAAACTGTAATTTACTCTGACCATTATTAATACAAAAAAGCACAATGTAGTTTTGGACTGAAACTGCAACATCATACATTAATCATGTCAGTCATAGTTTTATTTTACTAAAAAAATTCATTGGTTTGAATTTTGATTAAAAAATTCATTGGTCTGAAGCAACAGGCCTCAGGAGCTGCTGCTAGTTACTCCAAATTTGTGAGTCGTGAGATGAGCAAAGCCGAAGCACTTTTAAAGGTGAATTGAATTTAAATAATGTAGAACCATTTTTGTAATGAGAATATGTTGAGTTATGAGTTATTTTGTATTGTAGGTTATTCTGTCCCCGGTTGACTCGGTGGCAGATACATACAGTGCACTACTACCCGAGGGAACCCACTCTGAGTTTCAACGAATCCTAGACCTCAAGGTTACCTTCTAATCAATTTATAAGTGTCACATCATGTGTTTCTTTTTCTTTTCCTATTAACTCATGATGTCTGGATACATTACAATTACATGATGTTTAAAAAATATTTCTTGGGCTTGGGGATATATTTAACCAAGACACAGTTATAAAATAAATAAATTTGAGATTTAGTGTTGTCATTTAATTTTAATCGTACAGGGGCTGAAAAAAGCAGACCAACAAACAATATTAGAAGATTTCAGCAAACGTGGCTCCGGGATCCCAATTGCCACGTCAGCAGTCCAGATGGTCCCCGCCACAGCAGCGGGTCCTCCTCCTCCGGTGGCGGTGGCGGTGGCGGTGGTGAGTCAGCAAGGTGGTGGTTCTTCTTATGGTGCAGCAATGATATCAAGAGAAGATGTGCTGACAAGAGCAGCAGCACTGGGTAGAGGTGCCGCCACTACTGGTTTTAAACGCTTCCTTGCTCTCACTGAAGCCGCAAAAGACCGAACCGATGGTCCTTTCAGAAAACTCTTCAATGCATGACCATCACCAATTCACCATATCATAAATCCCTCTAAACTCCATGCATGTATTTTCTACCATATCATAACAATCATTGACATGTTTTTTTTTTTATTACTATTTTTGACATGATAATGAAAACTTACTTTTTATTTTTTATGTGTGGACTGGACTTTTTGTTAGGTTATATAAAATTTACCACATTTGGGTATGTTTTCATACAAGATATGAGATATACTCTTGCTTAAACAACGTTTTATGATTATTTTTGTTAGATTAACTTTTTTTCACTTGCAAGTTTTTAATTAAAATTGAATGTAGATCTTTACAGTTATTACAACAATCATCCAAAAATAACCCTTTCTCTCTCTATTGGAACCTATGCCTGTTTCTATGTCTATTGTCAATGTAACCTCTATATGTTTCACCGGTCTATTCATCTCCACGTAAAACTAAAATATATATACCGTATTGTACACTTGTTAAAAAAAACATCTTCTCATTGCCAATAAAACAAACAAAGCATGATCCAGGGATACAATTATTAAAAAATAAATGCTAAAACTGAAGTAAAATGATCATATCTGATTTGAAGCAAACATTCAACAACAATATCTTCTAAAAAAACAGAAGGAGAAAGTCAAAATTACATGTGCAGCATTATACTATCATAAATACATTGGACAAATCGAATGAGAATGAACCTAGGGGGAATTTTTCTAATTTCCTAAAATAAAAACACATGTTACTTTTGAAGCACACTATAGAACTTGACCATTGTTGATCTTCCTCAAAGTGTTGACATATGTATAACTAGAAAATGAAACAAAAAGCTTCCGAAACCTGAAAATACTAACTGGTATTAAACATCTAATAAATCCAATATCAACTTGGGAAATTTGACATCAAAAGTCAGAATGTTTTATTATTAATTTTTATTTTTTTAATATATGTGGGACTACACTACACAAATCGATCTTATACTCCGCTCGACATGAATTGGACTAAGACAGGAACCAATGTTAATGGATAGAGACTCTTTTTCGATCTCTTGTATGTGTAAGTATGTGTAAAAGACATGCATGCCCTCCTCATCCTCATCATTAAAAATAGCTCTAAAAAGCTTGTCTAGTACCATCATGCCACGTGTAACAAATGCGGGCAAGGCTGTATGGGACTGGGTGAGCTTTCTATAGGCTATTTTCGATGATGATTGATGAGGGCATTTTCGTCTTTTATACAAACAAGAGATCAAGAGTGAGTCCCTGACCTACCTGTTCCACCTTTTTGGGTGGGACAAAAAAACTGTAATTTTTGTTTCATCAACATCAGTCCCAGTTCAATACATGTCAAACGTAAGTACAACCTGTTCTGTTCTCTGTACTGACATTAAGGTGCAGATAATGATGACACATACCAAACCCATTGGCTGAGGTGCTGTGACATGGCAGCATAGCTTCTAAGTGGATGTTCATTTACCAAACAATGCATTTCTCCTTTCACACTCCAAAAAGACAACCATATATCAATGGGCCCACTGTACTTTCGTACTATGTTACTACTCACCTGAACAAAAAAAACATATCATGGAATGTAATCACTCATTCCATTCCATTCCAAATGGGAAAGAAGAACATACCAATTCCCATGCTTCAATGTATCGTTTTGAAGTATCAAGTATGAATCTTCTGATAAAAGAGAAAGAAAGCAATCAATTCCAAATTTTTTATTCTTAATATTTATCATGGAAAAATGAACTTTTTTTTTAATAAAATAAAGGGACTTACCGCACTCCTTGGTGTACATCACGGTGATTACAATGACCAGAAACACCATAATTATCAAAGGTAATAATCTGTAACAAATTAAAAGAAAATGAATTTCATAAAATCCTTTAATTTCTGTTGTGTCAGCTTTCTGTAAATTGTAATTACCTTTTATATCAATGCAACTGCATACTCTTTCAAAAGTAGTCCCCAATGACACATAAATGCAATTACAAACCTTCCAAATGGCTATAAAAGTATATAATTTAATAATATAACTTTTAATTTCATAAAATAATATATATATATATATATATATATATATATATTAAAATGGTAAACAGTGGCCAAGTTTTATAGTTTAATATTTATTATTTACACTATAACAATAAACATTACTACTTTTTACAAATTGGTAATTAAAATACACAATTTAACAATCAAAATATGTTTAAAATTTTAATCTATAATTCATAATTTTAGTTCAATCATAAACTATGTATTTTTAATATAGAATTTTTTTAGAATAATGATTTAACGTAATAAACTAATTTATTAATGTAAACTAATAATGGGACCCACATTGGTGATGTGGGGTTGCAACTTGCAAGTTGTGAAAGAGAGATTGGTACACCTGCTGACAAGTCACCTTGCAAGTCAATTTGAAATACTAACTAATGGCGATGCCATAATAGGCTTATAAAAGCAGCGTGAAGAAATTCCAAATATTTGTATCAAAATTGATAAAATTTTAAACTTAAAAGTCAAAATACAAAAAGGTAGAGATCAAATCTTACCATGTCAATTGCATGAGCAAAAATCTTCTTTTCCACAATCTTTGCTAGTTTATTACTATTCCATACTTTCCCAAAACCGTCCTAGTGAAAAAAAAAAATACAAATAGATATTATTTATAAACATAATAAATAAAAAACATACTAGGATTATTTTTTTCAGTAAAAAATATAATAAACCTGAAAATCTGGATGATCCAATGCTGTCACTTGTTGGAGAGGAAGCTGCATGATTAAATATTTAAATACTTTAACTGGAAGGAACAAAATGACAAAAGAATGGAATAGGCAAGGCATTCAATAATCATCTTCGGAATGTAATGAGTTTTCATATGAATTTTGTGTATTAAAAGTAAAAAGTATGCACATATTTAACTCTACTTTATACAGTAAATAACAAAAAAAATATTAACTCTTTATTTACAAAAAACAAATATATGACCTTAAGGATTGCAGAAGCCCTATAAAGCTCTTCCTTTCTAACATCTCCAATACCATCTGCAAATTGTTAGTAAATGAACGACCAAGTATAACTCAAACCTATAGCTATAAAGAATATTACCAGTTGACATGCACAATATGTGCACATTATGCCCTCTTGAAGTTAGCTGATTGATTGTTGGTGAAAAGAACCTGTGAAACCAATATTTCAATATCATACAATCAACAACATATTTCTATTGATTTGTTTACAAATTTCAAAGTATAATGTCCTAATAAGAAAAAAAAAATTGATAGAACAAATGTTATAATTGGGGTTCTAACGTTTAAGCATACATGGATTCATCATCAGGGTGTGCAATGACCAATAATACATTTTTCTTCTGAATAGATCCAGCTGATACATTCAGACAACAGATATAAACCAACATAACTACACAAAAAAATAAATGTTATGTCACAACTATTATGTATCACCAACCATTATTATTTAAGAAGGGAGATTGGTTTGGATAGAATGATGAATGGAGAATTTTGCAGAGAGAAGCCAACCATACAACAGCTACAGAAACAAATATCAGAAACCACTCCATCTACTATACTCCTACATTAAAAAGAAAATTACATATAAAATAATTTAAAAGGAATTGGAATCTGTCACAGGGATTGGAAACTGTCAAAGGAATTGGAATATGTCAAGCGATTTCAATTATATATATATATATATATATATATATATATATATATATATATATATATATATATTTCTGTTTGGCTTGTAACTCTTTTACAGTATTTGGAATGTAAGTAAGAACAAATAAACGTAAATGGACACAGTAAAAGAATTTACAAATTGCAAAGCCTTCATTAACACAGCGATTTCAAGCATGCTAGCATTCTAGACGGTTTGTAGTTCGGTGTAAAAACACTTGCTTGAAGCATTCAATATACCAGGGGTTTACGATGAAGCGCAGAGATAGATTTCAACACATTCACGTGGAGAGAGGGCAAATAGGAATAGGGACGAATTACAATTACCTGATGCGTGTGATTGCAAAAAGGAAGATGCGACAGGTGAAGAAGGAGGACGGCTTCGATGTTAACACCGGCGATAGTGAGGAAGTGGGCCACAGCCCACAGGTAATATCCGAACGTGTTAACCGTTTTTTTTTTTTTTTTTGGAAATTGAGTAATGTAACAAATATATATGAATTATTTGAAAAAAACAACAAATTTTTTTATATATATTTTAAAGTGATCATTTTGTTCAGGTAAACGATCTCTAAGATTCTAGAGTAGCTGTTCCGACTAGTTTTTATATATAGTTTATAAAATTTAATCTATTTTTGTGTTATGTGTTAATTTTTCTTTTTATATGGTTTTTGTGTTGTGTTAATTTTTCTATTTATTTATAATTGTATATGGTTTATAAAATCATCTTTTCAAGTTGAAACTTTGTCCGTGCAAGGCCCGGTTTTCAACTAAAATCTCCGATTTCATCAAAGAAAATCATTTTTAGAAACGAAGTGCTGCCCAAATTATCAATTTATCATTCGGTTATTTCACAGTGAGTTCAATATGAGGATAATTGTATGTTATGTGTTATATGTGCAATGTGCTTTCCGTGTTATTATGATAATGAGCTATACATTTGACCACGAAGTGAATAACTAAGCATCACTTGGGTATTGATATGTAGCCTTTGACCATGAAGTGAATGATTAAGCATCACTTTGGCATTGGCAGAAGGCTAGGTAGGGCTGAAAGACTGTAAATTTCTAGCAAAATGTTAATTCAGAAATCGTTTATTTTCTATGCCACATGGGCTAAAGTCTTATT